GCTCTGTTCCAGCGCTTCCGCCCCCAGGTGTGCACCTAGGGAAGGGCTCGCACAGGTGCACGAGAGCCACGTGCACAAGAATGTTCACAGGGGCGTGGTGCAAAAGGCCCCCGAACCAGGCAAGAGTCGAATGGATCTCGAGATAACCATGCCGAGCGAAGCGAGCCAGACAGAAAAAGTTGGAAACCACACGATATCACTTCTATGTGGGATATAAACCTAAAAGCAACAAACGAACAGGACAAACAGAGACTCATGGACATGGACTATAGACCAGTGGTTAGGGGTGGGGGGAGCGGGGAGGCAGACGGGGTACAGAGGGTCAAAGACGTGGTGACCGAAAGAAATCTAACTACGGGAGGTGAACACACGGCGTCATATGGATGTGCCTTACTGTTAAAGTGTGCAGTTGACACATATTGGATTTCGCTAACCAATGTCGCCATAATAAAAGAAAAAAATTAACTAATTAAAAAAAAAGTAGAATGGATGAATTGTGGCACATTCGTGTGGTAGATCACTGAACACCAGTGACAGTGACCGAACAATGGCTAGAAACACAAATGTGGGCAAATCCCCCCAAAATAAAACATCGAACAAAATAAAGGTCGCAGAAAAACATCTGTGCTGTGATTACATTTACGTACGACTCGGAACATCGAAAAAAAAAAAACCCTAAAAACCAGTTTGCTGAGGGATGTACACATTTGTGATAAAGTGAGCAAAACGGTGATTACGGAAGTCGGCACAGGGTTTGCCTCTCGGGAAGATGAGTACGGGGCTCGGGCTGGCGGGCTCCTAAGGCGCTGGGTGGCTGGTCCAAGGATGTTTTTATTCTTTAGGCTGTACATGTATGTTTCATACATGTTGGATGCGATATATTTCGCCATCCAAGTTTCTTTCAGAAGCAATTATTACCAGGTCTCACTACCACTCTTCAGAGAAACAAGGAGAGAGGGGCGTGTTAAGGGACACCGAGAGCCGACAGTCATCGAAGAGCGGACTTGGGGAAAATCTAGAGGGCGGAGCATCTTGTCTCTTCCGCAGGAAACTTTGAGAGGATAAAAGGTGACGACGGAGGAGTCTGGAAATTAAAAATTACCAGTTGCCATGCAGGGGTCTGGTCTGGATCCCACACAAACAAATTACTGATCAGACATCATGACCACTGCAGATATGTGAACATCAACCGGATATCGGATGCTAATGAGGATTTATTCTTGATTTTATTGGGACGTGGCGACGGTGCGGCCGTGATGTTTTAAAGAGCGGGGCAGGGGGTCCCTGTCTTTTAGAGCTAGCTAATGACATAGTTACAGAAGAAATCAAAGCAGTGGAAGATTCGGTTCAAAAACGACCCTGGGCGGGAGGGACGACGGCATGAAGGACACGAGCTCGGCCAGCGAGTTGAAAATCACTGGAGCTGAGGACGGCACACCGGGTGTCGCAACGTTTGAACGTTTGAAATGTTGGGTACTGAAAGTTAAAGCGACATAAAAACCAGGTGAAAAATAAAGGAACGAAAAGAAATAAAATAAAATAAAAAAGTAAAGGAGCGTTTGCGAAGTGGAGGTCTGTTTTGAAAGGAACGTTTTGGGGTTCGTTCCCTTCTCACCTGGCCCGGAGTAGCACCTCTTTTTTCCACGAGACAGTCCAGATCGCTGCCTCTCGGTCTTTATGGTGCATGCAAAGCCCCCGGGGAGCTGGTGAAGACGCAGACGCGGACTCAGCGGGTCCCGCATTGCCAAGGAGATGCCAAACTCCTTGGCAATGCAGGACCCACTGATGGGAGATGCCGAACTCCCTCCAGCCCGCCACCTCCTTCTTCCCTGTTCCTTCCCGGCGCTGTCCCATCGGGTGTGGCTGAGGTTCCAGGCTGGGCAATCGCACCCCATCAACCCCTCCAAAGTCCCCGTCTCCAGGCGCTCGAGCCTGGGCGCTTGCGAGCCACTGGAGACGCGCCCCACCGCCCGCTCCGTCCTCTGCCCTCAGCCCTCAGCCCTGCGTCTTTCCTTCCGGCCCGAGGTCTCCCTCTGCAAGAAGCCCGCCCTGCATGAGCGGCATCTCTCACCCGCTCTCCTTCCTCTCTGCTAATGGCCGTGCCTCGTCCTCCATCGTGAAAACTACGGTTGGCAGCAAATCCTTCACCCTTCCACCACCAGATCTACAAGCGTTCGTGGATCTGCTCTACCTTTTTCCTCATTAGTCCCTCCTATTAAGAAAACATCTATGTCGCTCGCACACTGTGGACCCGTTCCCTCTCTCCCGCGCCGATGGTTCGCACAGCCTGGAGGCTCCCGTTCTTAGTGTTTTTTTTTTTTGTTTTTTGTTTTTTTTTTTGAGCGAACACAAAAATCAAGATGCTTCCGCAGTGCGCTCGGTGTCTCAGCAACACTTGACCCAGCTGATAGAAAATCTGATTTTTTCCCTACTTTCTTCCCCTCTCCATGCGCCGGCCCCATAAAGAATTCTAATTCTCTCCTAGTCTTTGCACCCTAGGCGATAGCATCACCAACCTGGGGGGCTTCTAGAATACGCCCCTTTTCTTCAACGCCTGTCAAGTCCATTAGCTGCTTGTTCTACCTCTTAAAACAGTATTGTGATCTGTCCACGCTCGGCCCCGTCCACCACAATTACATGAAACTAAATGACCCCCTATTTCCCCAACGAGCCATCGACTTCCTTCCCTCAGGGCCTTTGCACACGCTGCGGCCCGCCCGAACCCCGAAATGCGTTCTGAGTCCCATGTGCCCAAATGCCATCCTAGGGCGACAGTCTCACAAGGTTTCCTGGGCTCCAAGTCACGCCCGGACCACGCTGTGAGAAGGGCTGGGGGCATTTCTCATTTCTGCAGCACATCCCAGATGCCCCCCGACCTGTGTCCGAACGCGATGCTCAGGCTCCTGCTTGCTCTGAGCAGCAAAGAAGTCCGACATGCGACCGAGTCTAAGTTCACTTTTGATCACATGACGCCGGCTCCGGCTTCCCCTGGCTCCTGACAGAGGCAGGCGGTTTCCAGCGTGTCGTGTGACTGCACGTCGTAGACTGGAGACAGACAGATGCCACGCTTTGCGGCTGCTCTGGCCGAGAGGTGCCGGGCTCTGCAGCCCAAGCTCAGGCTCTGTCTCGGCCTCGGGCACCGGCGCAGTCAGGAAGCAGACGCGGGCGGTGCCCGAGCACGGGGCGCCCCTCTCTTGCTGCTGTTGGAAGCCCCATCGCAGGCAGCAGGCTGCACCGGCTCACTCCAGGTGGGGACGCGGGGCGGGAGCATCCAGCTGCCCTGCCCATCAGTGGACGCCCGAATGAGGACAGCTGAGATCGAGCCCTGCAGCCAGCCGGCCAGCCGAGTGGCCGCAGAGTGAAGCCGGGTAGGGACGCCGTGCCACCCGATGACCTCTTCTGCAGGGGCCAGCCCCCGGCAGGATGAACTACGAGGACGTGTTCCAAGCCACTACGTTTTGAAGTGGCTGAAAGTGGGAATGAGCTGGATGTCACATCGGCAGATGGACCTCCTCTGACCAGCTCTTCCTTCCCCACCCCAGTGGAAGCATGTCCCCGGTGACGGACCCTCGCCGCACCCCGCTATGCTCCCATTCTTAGCAAAAACCCCAGTTTGAAGTAACGTATTGTCTCGGGTGATGTGCTTAATGGCTGCCTTCTGCCCTGGGCTGTAAAATCCACAAGGGCAGTGTTTCTGTTTTGCTCACAAAGGGAGCTCCAGATTTTGCACGCTACCTGTCACGCCGTGATGCAGGGAGACACCGCGGGGCGGGTCGGCGTACTGGTCAGCTGTGAGGGTCTGGACAGAAGCTGCCTGTGCTCAGCTCCCGGCCCTGTCACTCACTAACCGAGACAGCTAAGTGGCCGCCGTGTACCTCAGTGTCCCCATCTCTAAAGGGGAATAGCATGTACTCGCTGAGCCGTTGTGGGGATGTGGTCCACAATCGTTAATTATTTCCTGCCGAATGATGTCGGCTCACCTGCAGAACAGTGGATCAGAACTCTGACGTGGCCGAGGTCGCCTCCATGCCCAGTGATTAACCCCGTGATTAAATTTGCATTCGCCTTCCCCAGAGCTTCTTCCTCAGCCTGGGAATGGAAATAGCATGTACTCGCTGAGCCGTTGTGGGGATGTGGTCCACAATCGTTAATTATTTCCTGCCGAATGATGTCGGCTCACCTGCAGAACAGTGGATCAGAACTCTGACGTGGCCGAGGTCGCCTCCATGCCCAGTGATTAACCCCGTGATTAAATTTGCATTCGCCTTCCCCAGAGCTTCTTCCTCAGCCACCACTCGGCCTCATTCTGCAAAGGTGTGGCCTCGTGACACCTGAGCAGCCCCTCAGCGCTGAGCGCTGGCTCCTGGGTGAGCCCCGACTGCTCCCCGGGGCGACATTCGGGTCAGAGCCTCGTCCCCAACTGCTGTAACTGCCCCCCAACCCCCGCCACTGGGTGAGCCCCGCACTGAGCTGGGGTCGGAGCCGACACACGCCCACCAGGAAACAGCGCTGAGGCCCCAAGAGATGCGTCAGTCCCCGTCGACACACGCGTGCACACACACGTGCACACGCACGGCGTCGGCGGGGGGAGCGGCTCGCGGGCGCTCAGCGCCCTGCCAGCCAGGCACCGGGTCCCCCAGCTGCTCTTTCCGGTTCTGGACAGAAAGGACATAAGGGGCTCGGTTTCCAAAACACGTCATTTTAAAAGGCGAAGGGGAGAGGGTGCCTGAGGAAAGCAGAGCGTGAGGGAAGCGGGGTGAAGCCGGGGAAGCCGGGGGTGGCGGAGAGGGAGCCGGGGATGACAGCCTGACAGCTGCAGCCTCCTCGGAGGGGCTGGGAGGGGCGCAGAGGCGGGAAGCCCCTGCTCGGCTCCCCGCTGGCTGTCCCGTGGGTCAGGCTGCAAGGCGCCCCGATGAGCGGCCAGGGCGCCCGCCTGCGGGTGAGGCCGTCTGGGGCAGAGCCACAGGTGACGGCGGCGGCGTGCGCACTCGGGAACTTACCGGACAGGGTCTGAGGGCTGCGGAACGGTGGGCTTGCTCCCAGGGGCCCGGCCGCGGCCTGGTCTGCAGACACCGGTGCTCACGGGGCAGTGGCTGCAGGACGCCGGCTTCCCATTGGGTCAGCTCCGACCAGAGGCAGGGAGGGCCCAGGAGAGGCTGGGGCGCGGAGGGGAGCCTGCTGTGTTTGTGTATTGCAACTGTTTTGGAGAACACGTAGCCCCGAGTCACATGCTGCCTCCAACATCACCGGAGTCGTCACATGATGCGGATCCCCGTCATGTGACCAGACGAATCTGCCTAACTTCAGCCCCCACCCCCACCTCCCGCTCGCGGGCTGACAGATGACGTCTTTCTGGAGGGGCCTCCTCCCTGGCCCCAAAGCCAGCAAGAGGGGGAGGGCTGCAGGTGGGGACCCCTGGAGCCTGCCGCACTCAGGCCTGACTGCTCTCTCCCTGTCCCCAGCCACCGGGACCTGGAGCGGGGCCAGCCCCCTTTGAGTCCCAGCCTTATGAATGACTCCAGCGTCGCCGTGGGCGCAGCAGCCGCGGGGCGTTAGCCCGCACCACTGGTCCGCGGGCTCCGTGAAGCCCACCTGCGGCCGCCTCCCCTCCGCAGCTTCCCGTTCCCCACAGAGCAGCGGGCGGTGGTGGCGGGGGGACCAGCAGCGGCGGGACAGGGGGACTCAGGACACTGCCCTCGCGGAACTTTCTAGTCCTTTCTCGTTTTCCGCAGCTGCGGTGAGCGGGGTGGGGCGCGTCGGGCCCTCCGATCAGCTGTCTCTTCGGAGATCGGAGCTCGAGGCTGCGCTGGCTGCTGCAGGCTCGTCACACTGTCCCTCTGTCCCCCGTCTCCCTCCGCAATCAGGATCCGGTTAAACAGATTCGGTTCAAAACCCTGCTGGGCTTGCTTCCTCCCAGGGCAGCCGCCTCGCTCCTCTCTCTCTCTCTC